GTTGAAAAGAAGAGAGAGAAAAATATATTTTGAAAATAATGAAAAACAATTTGATTTCCATTTCTTAAAATTCATTTTTCCTCCAAACTCCTTTTTAATAGATTGTCATCTATGTGACAAATAAATATAAAGACTTCTAATCTTTGTGGCACTGGTATCTGACTAATAGATCGATAAATTCAAATTTCAAACATGCTATAGGGATGGGGTGATTGACAGATTCAAAAATAGGTGCATCACGTGTCTTCTTTTTTCTTATCACATCAACTATACATAGTCGCAGACATACGGTATTGGATAGAACTTTTATAAATATTATCCATTATAACTTATGCAACGGTTTTTTTTTTTTTTAAATGTTTTTTCTTGTCACATCAACTATACATAGTCGCAGACATACTGTATTGGAGAGAACTTCTATAAATATTATCCATTTTAACTTATGTCTCGGTTTTTTATTTTTTTAAATGCAAACGTATACGTTTGCATTGAAGATGCTCTTATTACATCACCAGAGTCTAAATAAATGAAAGGATAATTTGAGTTCACCAACAATACAAATTATGTAATTATCATCGAAAGAATGGCAGGTAAGATTCTGATTCTAATTTTAAACAAATCATGCCCTGAAAATCTTGTCCCCAAACCAAAAAAACTTAAATATTAATATCTAGGAAATTTCAGCATTGGTCCCAAGCTTATGGACCTTGTTATCACTTAATCCCCAATATACTTTTCTTGACAGCAGCACCCCCAGTTGGTATTATTGTAGCAGCATTACCCCTCGATACCTGTTCGCCAATGATAGAAAGGACTGACGATGCGACTAAAATAATAAGTTGGGGTTCAATGCTGCAATTTTCATAGAAATATTTCATACAGGTCTCAGACAAATTTTTTTTTAATGGTTGTGCTCAATTTTACAATGTGGCCCTTGTTTGACACACATTCTTTCAAAATTCATTTTCAACCACACATTTTTCAATAAAATAATATTTTGCATCACATCAATAATTTTTCCTTACTTTTTAACCACATATTTTTCATCATATCACTATTTAAAATATATTTTTTCCTCAATAATATTCATCAGACCCGTAAATTGATTTCAGTTTATGGGTATGGATTTGTAATTATAAAGGGAATTATTTAGGGACATTATTTTTTTTTTGTTGAAATCAAATATTGACAGGTAGAACATGAATCTTGTAGCTTGTCAGCATTGTCGGGGCAGTCTGTTTATTAAAAATTAGTTAGGTATTCTAAAGATGCTGACATAATAATTGACCATCCGGGTTCCACGTTCACAACAAAGGGATTTCACTGCGTGTCCACATGTCATCAAGCATTTCATCTGACCTAGCAAACCAAAGGTATGTCTCGCTCGCCGATGCTATCTTTAGCACGGGGATGCAGACCCACATGGACTTGGCAAATGACATTCGGAGGTCTCGTCCAAATCGTGCATTATAAGACAAATTAGAAGCCTCCTACATAAACGCTATTTTAGTGACAAATCATGACAGCGTTAACGTAAGCAGCAATGCTGCAGAGATAACACGTAACGAATTGCATGACAAATATTACTGAAACACAAATATGAACGAGAATATTGGATCTTGGACTTAACTTATAACATAATAATGAGATAATGCCAACTCATAAAAAATGATCAAAATGTCCCAAAACTTGTCTATAAATAGAATCATTTACACAATTAAAAATGAGTGAAGTTGAAAGAGTTTTAAAGATTGAAATAGTTAATATCCATTTTTCACTATCGAAAAATTGCATCGGATCAAGGCAGAACTAGGGACAGACAAAATCTTAGTATTCTCCAATTGAAGTACATTTTCCGACCAACATAACGCCTTGAATCCATTTCCTTTCTTCTCCACAAATAACGACAACAACACACACACACGCTCAAAACCCCTTAAAAAATGGTAGAAATACTGCCAACATTACGATAGGAAACCTGCATTTGACATTAAAAATAATTTTCATTTTTGAGGTCAACATTATTTATGATAACAGTGGTTTACTAACACTGTCGATTTTCAATGTAGGTTGGAGGCTGCATTTAGTGCGAAGGGTAGGATTATGTCAAATTAAAGTTAAAAGTTGAAAGAAGATATATTTGAAACTCTAATGTTTTTGAAGAACTGCAAGATGTAGAATATCGAGTTCAAGATAAGTTTGCGAGTGCAATTGCAGAAAATTTTCAATACTAAAATCTTGATGAATTTTTTGGTTTACACAATCGCTAGTTTTAAAAACATAACATTGTTGGTAACCTTATTTTTAAAAAAATAAAAATAAAATTGTACACGAAATAATAAATTTAGTACAATTTCAACTTCGAGCCTATCCTAAATCCGAATAGAGAAGGGGGATTTTCACAACCTTAAATTTACTTTGTTGAATACATTAACAAATGCGATTTCTTCTAATTTTGCATATTTTCATATACGACTCACTTTCCCACGGACAAGCTCCAAAATCTCCAAACAAGCTGACTCGTGCTAGGCTCACCGGTGGGCCGAGCCAACTTGCCTTGGCCCGACAAACGACAACCCCTAATTAAAAGGCTAAACATTATCTTAGAACATCTTATTCACCAATACCTAGTCAAGTCCAAGCCAACAAAAATAGAGATAATGTATCGTGCCACACCCATGCACATACGGAATTTCTAGATGTAATATACGCGTGTCCAGCACTGTAGCTCTGTGCTACTCCGGGACGGCGGGACCCCTTCTTCAAATACCCCGAGAAAGTCACACATGGTTATATTCAAAATACTGTATCTATCTATTCAAGATCATTCACTCTAGATGCCGAAAGTTCAAAAACCTTTATTACAACTCATCAACTTATCTTCTAAATGAGAAATATAAATTGACACAAGGAATTGTGACTCGACACAACCTGTTCAAACGCTGTCAAATTTATAGTTTGCTGCTATCCTGAAAGCTACGATAATTAAAATGGGACCTCCTAATTTGATGGCGTAGTGCACCCTTGATGTTGAGACCACGATAGGTTAATTTGAGGACCCATCAAATGTCCCATCAATGAATTCTCAGCCGTCCAATGTGCCAATTGAAAGTCATTTTGCTTTATCTCAACACCTTCCACAAATAGAGTCCATTTTTACATGTAATTAAACCTTAATTAAGGAAAATTATTGGGTATTACAATATGAAATTGAATTAGTGCGTGCCACATTTGACTACATCATGATGCTTTTTGTCAAAGAATTATGTGGAAGTTAAAAATCTTGACATTTACTTCATTCCCCATTTAGCGAATCCATATAGAAATCCCCAATAGAATTAAGGGTCGACTGTTTAATGAAAGAATAATTCCTTAAATACAGGAAATGTTGCCAGATTTTGTACCGAATTTTGAATTGAAAAAATCATGTGCGTCTATCTGTGTTTTCCCTCCTTCATGTTTGAATCCAGTCCATTCATTTCAAATTTCTGTGTGCATTATCTGAAATTTCCATGTACTCATAGCATAGTTTTTAATGAAAATAGAAAGTTGACTAGTTATTGGATAAATTTGACGACATTACATGAAGCAGTCCGTACTTTCCGTTCACGAGACTAAGGAAAAACCATAATAAAGCTTGGTTATACAAATGGGGTAAATGAAGAGTCATTACAATATTGTTCGAAGAAAAACTCTAATAAAAAATATTAATGTATGCTCTTTTTATATTTTAATCGAGATATTTGGCGGCTAGAAAATAATATATACACAAGCAAAAATTCGCTTGCTCAAGTGGAAAGTGGTCAAAGGCGTCTATTTCTAATCGTACGATTACAAATCTTGTTTTGTTTTGATAAAAATTAGTTTTTCAGTAAATTTTGATAAAAGTTGACGAAATTTGAGGTCAAAAAATTTATAAAAATTGTAAAAATGTACGATTCAAAACGAATTGGGGGAAAAATAAATTTTAAAAAATGAGAACCAAGATTAATATTTATGAAATTTGTCTGTCAAATTCAAGTTTCATAACTTTAGGGTCTATCAAATTTTCTTGACTGTTTTACTTTTACCATTAACAAATATAATAATTTCTAATTGTCCACCATGCACACATCCCAAACTTTTTGTAACATAGCTCGTCACTGTCCAGCCACGTGGTGTAGAACCCACCTCCACGTGGGTTGTGGGACCACACTTGGTTTTGAATATTGTAATTATTAAGAACAAAAATTATGTGAAATGTGACAGGCTCGTTCATCAATCGCCACCATTTGGGCACACTGAATTTAGAACCTTGCTGAACAGGGCCAAGTGGCGCCCCTGTTTGGTTTGGCTCTGTTCAAGCAGTATAATTCCTGAATTTATATTTGGATAATTCTTGTTGTAAACAAAAGGGGTGGGACCCGTGATTTTTAAAATCGCGGACCCACCTCCCACGTGTGAGGAGTGTCAAACTAGATGTATACAAAAGTGTACATCTAACCACATGTCGCTAGAATTGCAATCTCAATTTAAGTGACGTGAATATGACACTAAATGAAAACCTTTCATTTAGCTTATCGTTTAGTGCACTTTGGTTGACACTTGAATTGCTATTAAAAAATAATTGGATGGAAAAACTGTTTAAAATCAAACTGTTCAATTGGATAATGCTACGTGAGAAGTGTACATCAAAGTGTAAACGTAGCATGATTTTATTTACAGTGTCGTGCTCATCTTCCCTTGCCTTGTCATTATTGTAACATTAATGAAATGCAGACAAAATGAAACCCAAATTCACATGAAATGCATGCAATGCAATCAAACATTATATATACAACTGCACCCTCAAAAGCTCGGTCTACTTTTAACTATATGCATGAAATTTACGTAAACACGTTTGTTTTCTTACTTGGGTCGCCGGAGTAAAAATATTCCGGCAGCCTGAGATAGAAGTAAACCGGAAATCGAGATTCCGGTATCCTGAAATTAAATAAGTTGGTGTTGTGTTTTGGCGATTAATGGCAAAGGGTCGAAAATTGACCACCAGTCGGAGTGATAGGTTTTTAGGGAGTTTCGGTTACAATCAGGAGCAAGAAACAGTCGACGGCTCGTCGGAGTTTGGAGAAGATGAAGTTTGGTCGACTTTTGATAACACGGTCAACGCCGATAATCATCTCGTCAATGTCGAGTGGACTTCAGTTGCTGGTTCCGAGAGTAATGGTAGCTTCCACGGTTACAGGAGCCGCCGTCATGCTCCACCCGCCACCAGCCATGAGCACCACGCCCACCGCCACGTTGGAGGCTTGTCATTGGCTTTCGAGGATCCGAGTTCTCCTAGTTTGGTGCACCAGTTTCGAAGCCAGGACAACATGGTGGAATCTCCACGTGGGCGCTATACAGCTACGTCGGCCCCAGTGAATGTTCCTGATTGGTCAAAGATTTACGGAGTCAATTCGTCCGAGTCACTTCACAACTCGGATGATGGATTCGACCATGGTGAATCGGAATTAGTCCCACCACACGAGTACTTGGCACGAAGCCGAGACATGGCTGCAAACTTGGAGTTTGCGGGCGTGGGTCGAACCCTTAAGGGGCGCGATATGAGTCGAGTTCGAGATGCAGTGTGGAGCCAGACTGGGTTCCACGGCTAATGATAACAAAATTTGTGTCTAATTACCTACTATCTTGTCGTTTAGGGGATGAGATCATTGCTAGTGGCCTAATTAAAGTGCCGGAAGTGTGTAAAATTGTGACTAGTGTATTATTTTGAAAACAATCCTAATATTTTAGTTTAGAAGTCATCTTTATATTTATAGGATAAAACTATTTGTACATCTCTTTTTACTACTTAGTTGATAGATAGATGATGTGACGATTTTATATTAGTTGGATTAAATGTATGAGAAGTAAAAGGTGGTGTGAGATTATGTCAAGTGTAAATTCGATAAGTCAGGATGTAAAAAGATATGTACATATAGCAAGATTGTATTTATCTCTATTGTTGTTGTACAAGACATGGGTTCCATGAAATATTGACATGTGTAAATCGAAGTACTGTGAATGTAACCGATGTATAGCCGTATATGTAGGAGTATATTATGGTAGGATTAGCCACTCGGGCAAACAACCCTTCACCAAGAAGAATTGTTCTAGCCCCCGATCCCTATAAAGCGAAAGAGATGCCTAGTAATCCCTAGGTTGCAGCACGTTCAGTTGTTAACTCCTCATGCTGATGTCGTCGTTTCGAGGACTGATTGATATGCTTTAGGGACGAAAATTCTTGAAATCACTCTTCATTTGTCCTGATATGAATCTTGAAATTTGATGATTACATTATATTACTTAGTTTCACCCAATCTTCATCTTGATCATGGATATATCACCCAATATTAGATCCATAAGCAGCGACAATTGCCCCATATTAACTTTCACTACGACTTCAGTGGGTTCACTTAATGAAGTCACAGTTTATGAGCCACTGGCTCATTCTTTTGAACTCGCAAAGAATATTATCCTAAAATAGCTTGTAAATTACTCCAATATTATTGGAAGTCCCCATCCTATATATGGAAAAGTGACTTGTGGAAGTCTGCTGCCACACCACAATTTTCTTCTCAATCAATTGAGACCATCACGTAGGATAACATAATCCAATTGAACAAAGAATTCGACGATATTGCATAATTAACTAGCTTAGAATTTAAGAAATTTTAAGATTATATGGCAAATAAGAGAGAAACAGATGGAAGTGGACAACAAAAGTAATATGGAGATAATGATTGAAAGTAGAAAGAGGAGGTGAAGGGTGGATACATTCTGCCCAACTTTTTCAAGATAGGGATATTTGATTGGGGTCATGTTTGTGAGGTTGCGGTTATATTTCTTCTCCAATTCTGTACCATAACATTTAGGATATCTTTCGGGCTCCACATATATCTCCAAATAAGAAATAATTCAAAAGGTCACTTGGAAGACATTTACTCTTTCCTCTCCTCTTATCATAACACTGACACCAGCCATTTTCACCACCATCACTACTTTTATCTTCCCAAGTGTCCTTTGCTAAGTTGTAAAATTTAATTATTGTCGTTGTGCCGAGTCAATATGCATATCGACCTTTCGATTTTACCCAAAGCTGTCTTACAAATAAGGAGTCATCATTATGATTTCTATTATCGTACAAAAGAGAGATTATAGAAGATGGGGCGAGCGATTCTCATGTAAACCTCTTTTCATCGTAATGAATTACTGCAGCTAAAAAAAAAAAAGATAACGTAGTCTCACATTAAAGCGAACCTCCATAAATTTTGAGTGTTCTTGTGTCTTTTTCTCTCTACAATTAATTGCTATTGGTGGTATATAATTAGAGTTTTCTAATTCTCAACACTTTGTTACATATGCATGCTTGAGGATAGGTGTAGCTTCGTGTTAGAGGAAGAGGTGACTATAGAAGATGGGGAAAATTCCAATTCTAACATATATAACTCAAAAACACTTAGACGAACATGATAAAATTAATGTTCTTGTGGCTGAACTAATTATTAGCCTAACCGAGCCGAACCGAGCCGACCGGAATGGGACATGATCAAAATGTTCCACATCCACACAATACTTAACTGTGTACGAAGTATAAACAGGGAATTATAGGTATGAATTGATTGCCCGTGATTTTGAGACAACAACATACATATTACCCAAATTCTAATTCTAAGGCTTTGATAAATTGTTAACAGTCCTGTAATTCAGGCAAAGTGATACCGTCACATGTGGGTATGTCTTGTAAGTTGGATGCTACTCTGACTAAACATAAGCTCTAATTGATACTTGCCTGTCAATAAATGTCTTATTAAACTAGTATTTGCAATAAAAATAAAACAATATTTTTCTAAGAATTAATATACTTTTCGGAATTTATTTGCATAACGCGAAAAGAAATTGTTATTAGAATTTAGAAGAGAATTTGAACAATTGGTGGAGTATGCTAAATTAGAAGACATGGTTGAAGAAGCAAAATGAAGCCATGAAGATAAAAATGTCAAGCCACTAAGTCCCTTGGGGGGATTTTTTCTGTTCTACATCCACCAAGGGCGTTTAAATATGGAGGACTCTAACTTCTATTACATTTGTGTGAAAATAATTAATCTGGGAGTAGGAATTGACCCGTGTTGAACGTACTGTAAGATACCTTAGTACAAGGGTTTGTAAATTGGGTTGAATTAGCACCACTATTCTATCTCAAAGGAAAATAACGTATAACGAAAAACAAAAACAAAAAAAAGAATAATAACTTACGAGTTTCGCGTGGGAATGAGAGCTTGCAGTGAGTACTCTTTAAGAATTATATCAAAATTAATCCTGTGGTGATTGATCTAGCTGTTTCTTGAACTCCAGCACTTTCAGTATCACAATCTTGTTAGATGCACATCAATCAACATGCATATCATCTCTTGGATCTCTCGTCTCTGATTCTCTGTTTTCCTCGGGCCTCTCAGACGAAGACTTGGATGCCAATGTATGTCTGCAAATCCTGAAACAAATTTCTTGACATCAAATAGCATTCACTGAGATTAAGCAATAACAGAAATATAGAAACTCAGTAAAGCACACATTACATAGTACTCAACCGCGAGGAGAAATTTCTTATTAACATTCCAACAGGCGTGTTCAACATCAATTCTAATCATTTTTGGTTGGTCCAAATAAGTATAAACTGAGTTGTAAAGCAATTAACGACGATCCATAAATCATAATACAATTATGTGCATCAATAAGTTCAGAGACATACATCTCCAGAGCCTCGGCTTTCCTCTTGATTTCACTTGACAAGAGTATCGGATCTGCATTTTTGGGTAATGAATCCTGCTCTTGGGTTTTTTCTCGAAGCCACTGCTCTGCTTTATTGCATTCACCAATGACCTGCAAAATAAAAGTCAATATATAATTTACTCTTTCAGCTAATAATATTTTTTAAAAATCATACAGGAAGGGATCGTACAACATCTCTTTCGCTGGGTGGAAGTGATCCTACAGCCGTCTGATACTCCACTATGCACTTTACTAGATTTCTGGTTGACTGTGCCCTGGCCTCTTCCTCTTCGTATCGATGTTCAACAGGATCCACAATCTAATGGACAATTTATTTATTTTAATTTAATTTTGGTGTTGGGTGTCAGTTTCATAAATCTCAAAAAACAAAAGTATAAACTTAGAGGAGTTTAAACAGGAAGTCAAAAGAACCTTTTTCAGATGCTCTAATTTCTCTGTATAAACACTTTCAGACTCATCATCTCCATCTTCATAGAGCCATTCCTCAGTTTGTTGTAAATTACTGGAGATCCCTTCCCTCTCTGAATCAGTTGCAAAGCTTCTATACGTATTCAAAATCTGTTTGTACATTTTTACTCATTCTTAAAGATGTGTGAAACAATAATAGCAATGAACTGAACTACAATTCACATTCAACATTATAGAATGCCATTCTTGGGATGTCAGACTGAAAGACAAGGACATAGTTTTGGGAATCTTGAAAATATTTTACATCAATGATTTCAAAAGAAGGATAAGCAAAGAAACTCAAGCATCTAAATAACCCAGTATTTTAATTACCGAATCATCAGAATTCGTCAAAATCTACATGAAAGGATGACTGCAATTATAATTATAAGAACAGAGTTCCCAATATTACAGAAAGGTGAAAATGCATCTCTAACAATCTGCTAGATACTGCATGCTTCAAATGAAGCAGCAGCCGGATTAATAGAAGTGAGTTTTACACACACCACCCCATTCTATTGCTTAAATTGCCCTGCTTTTGTTTTTGTATTTCAGAACCAGCAATTTTCCTGCAAATAGTGCATCATGCAGGTTTTTGGAAAAAAAATGTGCATCAAGGGATGCTGAAGTTACTATGGCATTGCTTGTGATAACTTTTTATATGACAAAAAACCATACGAAGTTTTCTACTTGTAGTGTCAGTATGAAACTGTCATTTTTTTTTTCCGCGGATTAAGTCGTTATACCATAAATAATAAAATCAGATTAAATGTTATTCTCCCAGGTAAAGCATAAAGTTGTACCTTATTTCGCGCTTCATATACATAAGACTCCAGTGCATTTTTCTTATCTTTAGTCCTCTCCATCATTATGTCTTGCTGGGCCAACTGAAGCTCCTTTTCTTGGGCTTGGGAGAGCTCTTGGGGTGTCATTCCGCCATATATATTATCACAAATGGTTATATCACGCCGTCTAACAGCCTGCACAAGGAGATACCAGTGCTTTGAATTTCCAGCATACATGTGGAAAAGGTAACTGCGATTATGAAACACCTCATGGAAGTTATAGATTTGGGGCATAGAATGTAGAAGGCATCACTTTTCCGTACTTCATGATGGCTTATGATTTAATATTAGTGAATATCTGCTTCAGAAAGAGAGAGACTCAATTGTTAGTTAATAATAGGCAAAAGCTTAGAAAAATAGATTTCATTTTCATAAGATGTGCAAGGATTGCAGTGTTTTAGCTAGCAAAAGCCTAACTATGAAACATGGGTTAGTGATGCTTGATGTGGTTATTAAGAAATGGAGGCGAGAGAGTAAAAAGGCAAAAGATTATATAACTAGACGGTGGAAAACAACAGGGATGAAATTAAGTGACTTTCAAGAATAAGGTCTGAAGGAGGGAATACTGGATATAGATGGAGATAATAACTTGACGTGGAATGTGATGGTTAAGTGCCTAATAAACTCCTGTAATTATGAGAGTTTAAGGGTAGAAAGCCACTTAAGGAAACATGAGGGCAAAAGAAGAAAGTTCAGATTGCTCTTGAGGCTAAAGGAAAATGTTAATGATGGCAATAACTAGTCTGGTTTGCTTGGAAGTTGGATCACAGTTTATGCTGAGCCCTTGTAAAATGGATTGACCTCAGTGGATCACCAATGAACCAGTGTGATGTACGTGCTGAAATATTAAGCAAGGAATAAGAGTGTAACAGAATTCTGCCAACAAGACAATGATGAGCATTCGCTAATCTCGCTTGCCGCTCAACATGCACAGAGTTGATGGATTTTTAATGAAGTTTCTTTTTCTTCTTTTCTTTTTCCCCCTTAAGTTGAGATAAGCTCAAAAATGTTAGTTAACACTACATATATAAGTCAGTGGTTTGTAATTTAAAATTGAGGAAAGCTACAATCTTGAAGTTCTTCAGAAGTCATGCAGTGGTGGTCTTGGGAACAGGATAAATAGCAGAAATGCAGTGTCCCACAAATGAAGCACTTTTGTGTGCGCAATTCTAAAGGGTCAAAGCATGTTAATTGGTGCTACATCTAATATCAAGCATGCCAACATTTTCTCTCTCAAACATAGTGGAGAGTTTTAAATTGAACCAACTTGGCAATTAATTAAAAATTTGAAAGATCAGTTGTTTTAACTGAACTTACAGCAGCCCCATTTGCTTTGCTGGAAGTTTCTTGATTGTTTTGCTCCATCTTGTCTGAGAGTGTGCCATCATTCTTCATGGTAGAATCATCCAAACTATCCTCCATCAGCTGCAAGACAATACAGCTTATGCTAAAAATAGGCATCTCATTTTCCACAGCCCCTAATAACTTGATAAATTTCAAAGAATTACAAATCAAATTTATACCTACCGAGGCAGACTCTATGGTAACAATTCCATGGAGGTTTAAATTGACTCTAACTTTAATCTTCATTTTTTCCGCATGAGGAACTTTGAATGGGCCAATCTGAAAATGTTTAAAAAAAAAAAAGTTTCAAAATAGAAGTCATGCAAAAAGAGAAGCCTTACAATAACTAATTCAAAGAAATTTATGCAAGACAGGAAAAATGGAAAGCTCAAACTCCGGTGGAAATCCTACATGAACCAATTTCTTTTCTCAAATTCATCTTCTTCAAAGGTGCTTTCACTTATGAGGCCAGATTAATGCAGTAACATTTCTATCTACACTAGAGTTTGATAAATCCCCAAACATCCATGGTGCCTTCTAATAACTAATTTATTAAACAATTCTCCACTTTTTGGCGACCTAATTGTTCGAAACAAAATTATTTGATTTTCATCTTTAATACAATTGGTTTAAATTTCTATTTTCTTAATAACAATGTATCGTGACAATATGTTATTTGTTAAGTTTAATGATCCAGAATTAAGATATTCCTTATAAAGGGTTTTCTCATATGTGCAATGTTTCTGAGCAATCATCTTCTACAAAGTAAAGCCACAACCACATGGTGAAATATCTAAGGTTTGAAATCTAAGGAAGGAAAAATAATTTTTCCCCTTACAGGGCAGAGTTGTGTATCAGATCAAGTTTGCACATTGGTCAACTCTCGGTGCAGAAACCATAGAAGAAAACTAAATCCATATATACCGTAAAAGAGCTGATTCTTGTAGATACACCTGAAGGCAACTCATCCTGGTTTGTGTAAAAGGCTTCCATGTAAAATGTGCCACTTCGGTGCAACGTAAGCATCTTTAGACTTGGAAAAGGATGCAGCTTAGGAAACAACACGCCATCTGTCACTGTGCAGATCGGCCCTTCGTCAGATGCAAATCCAATAGAAAATGGAAATGAATCTTGCACCTGCAAATAAAAGATGCAAAATGTCAAATGTAAGGGAAAAATAATTGAGCAATATCCCTACAAATGCATTCAGGAACATTTTATTTGCAAAGATTTTCCATTCAGTATAAAGGATGAAGAACAACATGATTAAGCCACTGCTCTCTCAAGTGAGACCTTTTTTCTTGGCTTTACAGATTGACATTCATTACAAAGATATGAATGGATCATCTATCAGATAATGGCCAGAATGGTCCTGTCCATGCTCTTATAATCTCATATTTCTTTCAAAAGGAGCTACAGCTCATGGATCAAGAAACTAGTTAATATCACATTTAACCAAATAGTGCAGCCACATAGCCTCTCTTTTTTTTTCCTCTAGGTTCTTAGTGTTTGCTGTGGGCAAGTGAACTTGGCGAGCGGGTGTTGGGGTGTTGATGTAGGCCTATTAAGGGAAGCTAATTCAGAATATTGTTTCCTGAGTTTCAACGTACAGAAAAACCAGCCTCTGAGGATCACAAGTGCACAACTGAGGCAAAAAGCCTTTCTGAATTGTTTGAACTACATGGATTGGACACTTACCAGGCAAACAACATATTAACAAGTTCTGTAAATAGTATCTTTTTCGAAAAATTCATTCAATCTACACTAAAAGTGAAGGCCATAATTATAATAAACCGCAATGGTATAGGCAAAGAAACAACAATTTTCTTTGATAAAAATTGCAAATTATATTTGTTGACTAGCATTTTTCACCAAAGGCTGTTATTTCATCTATGGATTGAATTTATTACAGGACATGCTTATGATATTATCTCATCTATAGATTGAATTATTCCATGACGTACTTGTGATATTATCATTAATTTCCCTCCGAAAATTAATGTTTCGGTGCAAAAATTTCAATCTCACGTCAATTTCTTCTTTGAACTAACAAGTTAACAAGTAGAAATTTTCTAGGACAATATATAAGAAAACAATTATATATACGTTCATGACATTTCATCACATGAAGTTTCCTCTGCTCGCAACATGAGAACCAGCATTTAATACTCCATCAGTTTCTTATACAAATTTCATATAAATTTGTTTGTAGGCATTACATTAATAGAAAAGATCAACTATAATATCCCAAGAAATTATACACATCAAATTTATATCTTACGAAATGCGTACTAGTTTGCTGCATTCTAAAAGGTGTATTACTCAAAATCTATAGCACAGTCACAATCATCTCTAGGGTTATTAGTTTCAAGTATGTACTATGGCAGATAAAGTATATGTCAATTGATCGTTACGAGCACCATAGTATAGTGTATCTCGCATGAAGATACTATTAGAAATTGAAAGAGAATTCGAGGGCTATTCAGCTATTGAATCATATCATTTTTATCTTATGGGTGTTTGAGCTCGCACACAAAAGTAGTTTGTCTAGGAGCTGGATTTTTTTAGTACATGGTAACCAGCACTGACATAGGGCTTGTTTGTGAATGATTTTAATCCAATTAAAATCGAAAATATAGCCGTTATTGGGTCCCACCAGTCTAATAAAAGTCAACAATAACGGCTAGTTTTTCAATTTTAATACGATTTTAATCCTTTCCAAACAAGCTCATAGTTTTGGATTTGCCAGTCTCGTTCTGTCCCCCTAAAACGCACCTGTAGGAGTTCTAGACATAATGCTTAACTGAGTTATATCTTCAAAGGCTTCCAATAACAACAGCAAAGGTTGATCCATAACTCAATTATTCAGTTATATAGCACTTCAAAGTGATCAAAAGGACATGCTAGAGAAGCAACCAACTTATTGTCCGTTGTCAGAACTAATGATTAAAATTTTCTGTTACTTGCAATGAAAACTAAAACAAGTTTTCAGGGAAACATGGGATATCCATGAAAAAGACATGTTGTGAAAACAAGATTATACTGATGGAAATAATTTGTCTTTGAGTAAATAACTGAAACACGGACCTCGTACTCTCTCACTCGGAATATGGGACTGAGCATTGCACATTGAAGGGCACAACCACGAGCCACGCACTCACTTGCATTTACAGTCCGGCTAGGTTCTTTCCCGAATAATGAGTTCAATATCTTCGAAATGGCAGGTATTCGAGAACCTGATCCAACAAGCTCAACTGCATGGATCTTCTCAAGAGTAAGACCAGAGTTAAGCAAAGCCTTACGACATGGAATGCTAATTCTTTCCAGTAATTCTGACGACAGCTCCTCAAAATCCTCTCTCTTAATAAATCCCTTGACATCTTTCTCTTCCATCAAGCACTCAATATTAAGCGGTGCCTCTGGATTAGCACTCAAGACTTTCTTCAATTTTTCACATGCCGCTCTCAGCCTTAAAGATGCTCGTGCATTAGAATAAACGTCAATGTTGTACTGTTCCTTGAATTGTGCAGCAAAATACCTGAACAGGACCTCATCAAAGTCTCTTCCCCCTAAGTTGCTATCAGAAGCATGAGATAATATTTTCATACGCCCAGGTTCAAATGATGCAACAGAAACCTGTATATCACAATGACCAATATCCACAAACACAATATTTGCAGGACCTCCACTAGGGAAGTCTGTCTTGTATATGCCGTAGCCCAGAGCAGTAGCTGTACAGTCATGCATCAACCTCAATGGCTTCAAGCCAGCTATCTCTGCAGCATTCAAATATGCACGTCTCTGCAAATCCGTTAAGTACGAAGGCACGCCAATCACACAATCTGAAACGGGTATCTCAAGATTTTTCTCTGCAATCTGCTTTAAATGGGCAAACAGCATAGCTAGAATCTGAACCGGTGTAAAAGTTTGTTTCTCGTTCATATAATTTAAATTTATCAAAATGTCCCCATCAGGATCCTCGGAAGTCTCGAAAGGGAACAATTTAAGGTCATCCTGCACTCTGGGTTCGCTAAATTTCCGTCCTATCAATCTTTTGACCTGAGAAATGGTGGATTTTGGATTCATGGTAGCGGAGGCAGCCCCAGCCGATCCAATAAACCTCTGCTTTTCACCAAATGAAACCACAGATGGAGTTTCCCGCTTTGATTCATCATTTAGCAATACATCAATTCCACGTTGCTTAGCCGCTCCTATCACACAGTTTTCATTTCCAATATCAAACCCCAACGCACTCATCTCTATCTAAACCAGATACAGAACCCTAAAATTTTCAACTTTATATGCAATATTCAATGCTAAACCGCAGAATTTGGGCCTGCAAAGAATCAATTGTGGGTAATAATTAGCTTACTATTTCTACAAAATAATAGAAAACGGAGATCGATATAAAAGAACAATTCAGATTATAATAAGAAGAAAAAATACAATACGATCAACTGCAGTATTCTATACAATTTAGCTATACAATCACAATCACAATTAGAAAACGGAGCTCTGAATTTGCAGCCTTGGCATAATAAGAATCCATTACCTGTTAAAACAATCTGAAAAAAATCTTGCCAAAAGTAAATATGTGCGTTAGCCACTGTTCTGGGAGAATAGAGAGAGAGAGAAAAGGGAAACCCTAAAAATGGGGAGAGGAAAAAGCAGTATGGATGAAATACGAAATCTCTTAAATACTTCGTGAATCCAGAGCTAACAATTTTCGAATCCCTCTCCCTATATACACGTCATATTGTTGTATATATAAGGCACATTCAACGATTCATATTGAAAGTACGGCTGAAATGTTGCTGTTTTTCACTTCGCTTTTTCACCTGACAAAATCTACACTCTTAATTTTGAATACATTCATCACATCATTACACATGTTTCTTCTACCTAGGAGTGAATATCAACCACAATGTACATATAACTTAATTCTAAATAAAAAGGTGAAATCAAGATTAGCAAAATTATACAAGGCGATGCAATGTTTGGCGCCCATTCAGACGTACCCCCAATATAATGGTTTTGAGCTCAACTTGTATCAAAAAATTCGATGATTTACGGAATGTTGCAATTCACACCAAATATCTTATTTTGCTTTCTTCTTTATCGTGAGAGTTGTGATATCCATTGTCAAGAGGCGTGTTAAATTCAAGAAATGTCTCATTCCCAAATGCACACGCTAATGGTCAATGGATGTGCAAGTAATGTTTGAGTATTCTTAGGCACATACTTGTCAGTTTGACATGACTGAAATATCGAATAATGAGTTAGTAATTCAACTAACGAATCATTAAGGTGAAAGAAGACGAGCAATGCTATATGATCAGGACCACGTGGGACGGACCCGTAGAATGGCATTTTGCCCTGGCTATTTATCTTTTACCAAAAGATAGAGAGAGTGAAAAGAAAAGAAAAAAGCACCAATGTGTCACCAAGTTAAAAAGGTAAAGTGGATCCTAATTTGCAAATTCATTACATTCTAAAATTCTATCTATTTTTATAAAATTTAAATCTATGATGAGATTATCTATGCATGTTTTTCATATTTTCTGTAGTATTTAAATAGTTTTTAAAATATTATTATTCAGTACTTTATATTTCTCCTTTTCTTGATTTTTTGTTCATTACATTTTAAATTTGGCAATGAAAAATTTAGCATGTTTAATACATTTGAAAAAATAAGTCCATGTTTGATTTAGCTAAAAATGTTGATAAAAATTTAAGTCAAAATCAACAATTAATTTTAACTGCATATTTCATGAAATCCACAATTTTTAAAAACTGCTAAATTTATGATTTTTAAATAAAACTAGACATGCTAAATATTTTTAAGCATAATATTCAAATTTTTGAAATATGCTATCTACTTTGGTCAATGATAAGATACGTCTTAGAATCAATCATGTTTGATGTACATCGTGAAATGAAATAATGTTTTCGCGCAAGGAAAAAAAAAAGTAGTTCTGATTATATTTTATTAACCACGATACAAATGAGCAGATTAAATTCAGATTTTTAATAAATTTTGATAAAAGTTGATAAAATGCATGATTGAAAAGTTACGAGTCCATTTAAACATGTTTAAAATTGAAATTTTAATTGGCTCGATGAAAAAATATTTTTTTATATTAATGATAAAAGTTAAATATATAATTTTCAACGGGGAAAAAAAAAGGTAAAACGATGTTGATATTAACCCAGAATCACGAACGCCTAGAAAATTACAGTAAAATCGAGCCCTAATTTGGCGAGAGAAAATAACCCTAACCCTAATTTTGATAACAACTCTCAGGGATCTCTGCCAGATCGTTCAATTTTGGGCTAAGGTAAGTAATCCCTACGTCTCCGTTTATTTTAAATATCTTTCTGTAACTGAAGCTTCAAACTTTTATATTGTTTTCTTATTGCGATTCCGTTTCCGTTACCTCCAATTTCATTTTGCAGTCACTTATTTCCTTTGCCCATTCACTTACTCTCCATTGGGAGAGAAGAAAGAAGGTAATTTGCAGATGCTGTTAATTGAATGTGTCATTAACTGCTCAAATGATTAGGGGAAATTTTGAATTTTTTTCTGATTGCCAGATGGACATAATTTCCCAGCTACAAGAACATTTGAATACAATAGCATCACTTGCATTCAATACTCTTGGGACACTTCAAAGGGATGCCCCTCCTGTTCGTCTGTCACCTAATTATCCAGAGCCTCCTATTACAAAGGCCGTAGAAGATGATGCTACTGATCTTGCAGAGCAACCCAAGCTCATGAGTGCCGAATTAGTGAAAGCTGCCAAGCAGGTTTGTTGATTAGCAGTATAATGTAGTTGTGTTTTTTTTTTCTTTCTGTAATTGCTCAGGTTTTTATCATTTTGTGAAAAGATGGAAGGATACGTCCACAAATCTGTTGTATTTTTACTTTTTTGCTAGTTTCTCTGGGTGTTCTTTATAAAGCCGGAGATGACTTGTTTTAAGAATTATTTTTGAACGGACTGATCTTTGTGCAGTTTGATGCATTGGTTGCTGCACTTCCATTATCTGAGGGAGGGGAAGAAGCTCAATTGAAAAGAATTGCAGAACTCCAGGTTCGACTTATGAGTTCTTTATCTTTGTTGCTAATTACATGATTATAACAGCGTGAGCATCTCAATTGGCTACCATATGTACTCACTCATTTAGCTCCTAAAGTTGGAGGGGCAAAAAAGCCTTTTGAGTGAAAAACAGTAGCTGCTAGGTTTTGGTGTTTCCTGGATTAGAATCGAAAGTGTGTCAAAAGTTGAAGACATGATAATTGATAACTGGTTAGTGTCAAGGTGGCTGATATTATCCCTAATTTCACAATGTTGAACAATCTTCTGCTAATTGTTTTTCATTTTTTTCATTGTTGGGTAATACACATTTCATAGAGATGTCTGTAACTCTCTTTTGTTCATGGAATTGTTAAGTATTATAAAGCTTTACTAATCTAAAAATGTATCACTCGGCAGGCTGAAAATGATGCAATAGGCCAAGAACTTCAAAAGCAATTAGAAGCTGCAGGTAAGATATTCAAACTTAGTGTTAGGGTGACTAGAATTACAAATTCTGCCGGGCTAAGATTCTACTGAATAGTCTAAGAACTTCTATGTTTTTGCATGACACAAGGCATTTTGTAAATTTGAGTTATTCGAAGACCTGAAACTTAATGCTTCTAATGGTATCTCGTTTTGTCAATTGATTAATATCTACTTGTAGAGTTGCATGCCTATTTTGAAACTAGGAGTGAACAAATGGTTTATATTGTATGTTTCATATTGATTTGGATCTTGGGTAGTTGGGTTTTCTGGTAAGAGAATTTTGTTGCCTAAATGGCTAAACCTAACTGAACTTAAAAAATTGCCCGGTTCAATTCTAAGTAATTTTCTCCTGTTTTTACTTAAAGAAAGTAATTTTTTAGAACTCTCCATTTCCAAAGCCCCGTACCCTCTTGCCCCTGCCACAGGCTTGAATAGCCCCCAACTGTAATCTTCGTCACCTCTTGCTACATAAACTGGGATAGTTTAGTAATTTAGTACTATTCTTTGATTACTTGGTTTGGTTCGAAATCTAACTGAACCAGAACTTAATTTGTTTATTTGGCGCAAACTGAAGGAAACCACAAACTGTAAAATTCAATTAAGAAAAAAAAAAGGTATTTAGTTTGGTATCGAGTTGTGCTCGACCCTAGCTGAAACTAAGTTGCTGATGTGCCAGAAAAAGAACTGAAGCAGGTCCAGGAGTTATTCAGCCAAGCAACGGATAACTGCTTGAACTTGAAGAAACCAGACTGATGCAAAGGACACCCCACCTGCAACTGTTTCACTCATCTTGTCTTTGTACTGTAATTGTATGTATATTCTTGCTCAATTTCATGATTATAGTATGAAACCATCCTAGTTTGTTGGCGTAGTTTTACGTACACACAATGCAGCTTGTATCTTTATAGTTGTAATGTTGTAGTCCTTGAACCAAATGATGAATTCAGTACTGACTTGAACTTTCAGATTTTGTTATTATACTGAACCTAGATTGAGACTGGTGGTGATTCTTCCACACGTGAGTCTTTGGATTAGTATTGTGCAAATCAATGATTGTTGCAACAGCTATTCCATTCTCACTAAGAGGTTGCAGCAAATCCCCAGGAATATTGTACAAAGGGGTAGGAAAGGGATAATTTTCAATTCAGTTGGTTTATAAATTCAATCAAGAGGAACATTAATTTCCTTGGGTTAAGATATTCAGTCTTGTTAATTTTTTGAAGGGAAAAATTTCAGGAAGCAGAACTTGCTCTCCGAGGACGGGATAGGAGTTGGCATACAATTTTAAGTCAAAATCTAAACGCAAGGACATTCCTAACTGAAATTAAGGTTCCATTTTAAGCCTCAAAAATTTGGACACGTGAATCACATACCACTTTACAGCAATTCATGAAGCAACTCGGCCGGAAACTCTCAAGCAAATGAAGTGTATGGACGAACATGTAAAATAAGAGTGGTACAGCAATTCGGCCAGAAACTCTCAAGCCGATGAAGTTTATGGACGAACATGCAAAATAAGAGCAAGCAAAAAGTAGTTTTTAAGACGAAAAGAGCTAAGGCAAGCCAATTTCAGTTCAACAGACAGAATTGAAAACTATCAAGCCAATAAATGTTCCCCAAGACCAAGCAACAGCAGATACTGCAGTGGAATAACTGAAAGCTCCTCTGTTCTTCACTACTACGTCCACCAGCTGTATATTGCCATTTGATGCTGGCCGATTACTGCACAACAGACTATCATATTGTTACTTTATATATCCAATACCACGTAAATATAAAACAAAACAGTATGCAGACTTTAAATATTGACTAAGCAGGCGAAAATGTGACAGATACGATCCAAGAAATGGGAAGACTAGACAATAATCAGCATTGCATAAATGCCAATGTGTAGTGTTCAACAAAACCTCCCATCCATACAAAATATGTGAATAATGATTCGCAGGAAAAAGGATTTTGCCCTCAAATCTATAGGCATATCTACCTGAGGTGGTTGTTGAGGGGGCGGTGCATAGTTTCCATATCCTTGGTAGCCTGTATAGTACAAATTTGGATCCTGAGCTGCTTGAGCATATCCATAGGTTTCATATCCAGGGGCATATCCATAATATCCAGCATTGGACTGGTTCTGATCAACCTGAGGCTCGAAAGTTTAAATAGATGAAATATCATAACAATCATCATTAGCGAGGACTAATAAACCAGTTCTAAAAATAGAAACAAAATAAAAAATGAGATTAAATGTACCTGTTTGTTTGAAGGACTACGACCCCATGAGAGTCTAATGCTTTGTCCTCCCAACTGGGTTCCATTTAACATTCGTAGAGCTTCCTCAGCACAGCTTCTGTTATAACAGATGCAGAGAGCATGACAAATTCTTCATACTGATTTCTTGGATTTTAAATTATGAGTGGAGGGAAGGTAGCAATCATACTGTTCAAGTTACCTGTCAGCAAATTGAACAAATCCACATCGTTTTCCGACCGGTATTTTTACATGAAGTAATTGTCCATATTGACCAAAAAACTGCCTCAGATGCTCATCTGTGATATTAGAGTCCAAATTACCAACAAATATCTGCAATCAAAAACTAAATTAGAACCAAATATCTAGATAAGAAACGGAAACAAAATTATTGTAAATAAAGTTACTCACCGTCGTGTTAGTTGGGTCATCCTCACCCTGAGTTCCTGGAGAAGTCTGGTATGAAGCTGCAAATACACACAAGTGTAGGTGAGGGAAATGCTAATGAAAAGGGAGTTGGAGAGGAGGAGCCGATTGGCGCTGATATTAGTTTAATACAAAAGAAGAGCAGATTTCGAAACAACGCACTACATCATTATATAAAATTTTGGAAATGCCAAAATACAAATGTTGAAGATCATCAAAACCACAGGTTCATACCAACAAAAGTCAATTCAGAAACTGTTAAACAAGCAAAGTTCTAACCAATCTTGCGAGGATGGTGGCAGACGACAAAGGACCTTGAAAACAAAATTACAATAAAAGATATTGCCCTGCATCTATCTCAAAGGTAAAGCAAAATTCCAATTGCAGCCAGCTCAGACCAGAGGATGGCATACAGGTTTGTGAGAAAGATAACTGTAGGCAAAACTGAAACTTGGAGCTGCCCATTCAAACAATTTTTAACGAGTATAGAAAATGTACAAGGATGAGCATCCACATCAACATATTTGGGAACAATAAGACATTAAAATCCATGTCTTCTTTCTTGGCTGTATTTATTTTACCTTTTTTTGTTATGATCCGACTTGTGATACTGCAAAATTGTGCACCTTTCAAAAGGATTTTAATAATGTACTGCAAAATCCATGGCCTCTATCTCATGCTGTGTTTATATTTCCTACGTTTGGTGTTATGATCCCAAGATATGGCACTGCTAGATCAATAGGATTCTAATAAAACGATTCTTTTGTAGAGAAACACCACAAGTAACAGACAACGACCAATGCTCTCTAGAGTTCAGATACACGTACGTACACACGCATCTGACATGGTGAAGAAGCACACTTTTAGTTGATAGAAGCACTTGCTTGCCAGTTTCAATAGCGTTGTACAAAGTACAGAAACATACATCAGTATCCTGCTATTTTTGGTCATCATATACAAAACAGACCAAACCCGTATTCTGTACCAATGAAGCTGATATGCAGTAGAGTCAACAAACCACTGTAAGATCATGAAGGAAAAAGAACAAGATGGGGTTTTACAAAAGATGATGAAAATGAACTAGCAAAAACAACCTGAAGAACACATTACAGGTTGGTTACATAAACATAAAACAACTGAAAGCTGCATGCTTTAAGCAGTTTTAACTTACAACTAACCTTTGATCATCGCCCACTGTCCATGGCGAGCTTTCTTCCACAAGGGTAAATTCGATTGTAAGCGTAGGAAAATAATAAGAGACGGGAATAAAGCAATTTTAATTAAAATGTTAATGGCGGAATGAAAGTAATGCAAGGACACTGAGTAATTCTAGTGGCGAAAATTTAAATACGAAACTGAAAGAAATGGCTGGAACAAAATGTAGTTTGACTGAAAGCTGAGAAAGTAAAGGAACTGGCTGAGGAAAAAAAATACTGAAAATAGTAGCATAATTATCGCCACAGGGAGCCAAAAGTAAGAACATTAAATTAAAACTGACCTAGACAAAACCAGGCACTAAAAGGGTTATCATTTCAGCCGAAATTAGCTCCAGGCCCCTATATGATAGAGCCTCCTGACATCCTGCTTTGAGACAACCGGAGTTTATGAGATTATGCAAGTTTTTAAGTTTCAAAGCACTTGAAGGAAATGACGGTGTAAGCTGTGGTTTTCTTCAAGACTTCAAGAGAATAACTGAATGGAAGCAAACTTAACAGCATTGTTCAACAGACATCAACTCTTGAAAATATCTCTAAAACAAAAAGCCACCAATGCATTTAAACTGCCAGATTCAGGAATCAGATAACATCATACAAAAAACAAGACCAAATTCAGCATGTTTAAGTCAGTTTGATGTTCTAATGGCCATCTAATAAGCTAAAAAACATACCAAAAGGATGAAGGGTATAGCATACCTTTAGCCTGACCACCCACTTTTTGTTTGCTAGCAGCCGGGCCAATTCGCATGGGCCTGGTTGAACAATACCTTCCATTCATCTCAGCCATGGCTCGCAGTTGTTCGCTTTCATCACCAAACCTCACAAATCCATAGCCTTTTGTGCGTCCAGTTATCTTATCCGTTACAACCTTTGCACCTTTGACTGAGGAGTAGTTGGCCCTAAAAGTTTCTTGAAGCATGTAGTCAGTTACATCAGCTGCCAAGTCTCCAACAAAAATTGTGTATTCAGAAGTATCATCATGCTTTTCACCCGCTCCCATAGATGCCCAGTTCAACCTGAATGTTTGCTCAGAATTTGGCATCTGAGTGCCATTATATGTCAGCAGATTTCTTTCTGCAGCAGCATGACTAACAAACTCGATAAAGCCATAACCTTCTGATTGGCCAGTTTGCTTGTTGCGAATGACTTTAGCAGATACCACCTGAAGAAACATATTTGAAATTAGGGTGCTTTTGATTGCCAATATTTTCCATGAAAAATGTGTTTTTTCAATACAAATTCCTACATTTGTGCTGTTTGATTGCTATTTTTTTCTATAGAAAATATTTTCCTACATTTGGTCACGTGATCATATTTTTCCCAAAATCAATGAAAATATTTTCTCTAAAGGAGAGTAGAATTTTATTTTCCAGGGAATTTACTTCCTATCCTTCTCTCTCCTACTCGCTCACGTCACCATCTCTCTCATCCACCACCCACGGAAACATTACCTCCCTTTCTTTCTCATAAACCCACCAAAAAATTCAGGAAAAAGGTCATGCCATTGCTCAGATCAACAAGTATATTTCCCCTTTCCTTTTTGTTAGTATGTATTTTAATATTCAGTTGCATCTGTATGGAGTTTAAATTTGAAGAAATTTGTTGATTTAGACTTGCATCTTTGATTTGAAATTTTGTTCTTCCATAAGAGACAGGAACTGGGGATCCATTCAATCGATTTCAAGATCTAGGGTTTTATTTTATACCGTGTGTATGCATTTCTTTTGGGCTGAATTGAGTGGATTTATTGAATGAATTCTTGAGAACCACTGCTCTTGCTCGCTCTAGGACACTATTCTGCAGCTCCAGGAAGCCTCCTACAAATTCCTCACTATGTACCCAAAGTATCAGTTGTCTAAGAGGATT